GACGTGCTGTGATGGGCAGAATTCATGAATGTGCAAGTGAGACAGTAAGAAAAGTTTTATTCCCAGTTTTGAGGGAAGATGATGTTACACAAAGTATTAAATATGATAAATTAATAATAACATTTGCGAACAAATTATGTATCAAGTACAATCATCAACACCAACAAGATATGATACGTGCTAAACTTCGATTATAAGGAAGGTTTCTTATCGCAGTGAAAGAATATAACTCTAACATAACAGAGTTTTCTGATATATATAATCCTTCCATATATGATGATTGTCTGAAAGCAGTAAATAAAGTAGCTCATTTTGATGATATTAATAAAAAATATGGTGCACCATCAGTTGCGTCAAATATTGGGACATATTTAAAACAAATTGGTAATTTGTTAATAACTGAATGCATAAAAGCTAATGATATAGAAAAGCAAAATGCTACAGAAAACTTTAAAATTAGTACAATAAGATTATGGTATATCTATAAACAGAACAATAGAATACATTATTTACAATATTTACAATATATATACGCTATTTACATTATATATACATTATTTACATTATATATACAATATTTACATTATATATACATTATTTATTATATATACATTATTTATATTATATATACATTATATACATATTTTTTGTTTGATTTTTAACAGGTTAATATTAATATAAGTCGTAAAAATTCAAATTTTTTATACAGCACCGCTTTTTCATTTACTTTTCAGTTGGAGAAAGTATGCTATGCGAACAAACTTATAATCTGGCGGGACCGGCACCTTCCATATTTATTAGCAATATTGCATAAGATATTGCGTAATATATATAAGATTTCGGTTTACATTTAATGAAAATCGTTTCGTTTCGTTTGTACGCGATTGCATCACATTAAGTGAAAAATGTCACGATATATATTATTTTTTTGTAATTATCATAAATATCATGTAAATATAAAACACAAGAAAAGACGCGTAAAATGTCCAGTTAGGAATCGTAAAAAAACATGTATTATGCGTACAATTGCACAGAATAGTAAGTATCACCATTCTATATTTATTTAAAATAATATAAAATGTTATCATAGCAATAATATTGTTAATATTGAGCACAACAGCACGTAACCTTTTTATTCGATTTTTAACAGATTAATATTAACTTAAGTCGTAAAAATCTAAAGTTTTTACTTAGCACTGCTTTTTAATTTTCTTTTCAGTTAAATTCTTGCATCAACGCGTTAAATACTGTGGTTATTTATATATAAATAATTAAAATTACTATATTTATTGTTACAGAAAATAAAAATGATCTTCTTGCAATTGCTAAAAGTTTAAATACAAATAATCCACGTATTGCTCTGGAAAACATAAAATTAATTGTCAATAATAACAATAGTAAGTATTACAGTATTATAATTTTAAAACTACATGCAATATATTGCATTTCTATTTTTTACAGTAATTATACTTTTTTTGTAGAAACTACAGAAATACCACAAAATGCCTGCATTATCAATATGAATTATACTAAAAAGAATACTAATACTAACAATTTAAGTAATGCTATTGATTTTGACAATAATGTAGTATCTTTTCTTGATAATGGACAAGGCCACAATGCAAATGATCAAAGTAACGTCAATTATCTTATAAAACACGTTGATTCTAATAACGGATTTAAAACGATAATTATTGGTAATACTGATAATTATACAAATAATAATGCCGATAATAATGGAAATGATAGCATTGTAGATAATATCATTAATGACAATAATTCTGCGAATAGTACTGATTTTGATAAGAACGTTACATTTTCTATTGAACATGATCACACTGCAATAAATGATGAAGGTTGTGTCACTAATAATGCTAAGAAAAATGTTGGTTGTGATAATGCTATGATAATTCCTAGTGAGTCTAATAATGAGCAGAATAGAGTAAAGGCTACTAAACTTAACATTACATTTTCCTGTAATGACAGAAATCATAATGTAGTAGATAGTACTATTAATGCTAACAATTCTGCAAATGATACTGATTTTGATAATGTGATATCTTCTTATGATAATAGTAATGGTTGTAAAACGGTAGATAGTAATATCAGTATCAATAATTCTACGAATGATAATGATTCTAATATTGATATATCACTTTTGTGCAATAATAATAACATTAATGCTAATAATTCTAAGAATAACTGTGAGTTTGATAATAATGTGATACTTTCTTGTGATAATGACAATAACTGTCATGTAAATACTGATATTGATATTAATTTTATAAACAGTAATAATTCTCATAATAATAATCTGACATTTTCCTGTGATAATGACAATTTCAATGTGTCTGAAACGGGTATTGTTCTCAAAGATGTCATGATATTTTCTTTTAACGATGATAATAGTTCTAGTATCTTAAATGATCTCACTAACGCCAAAGCTTCTATAAATTATAATGATAATGATAATAATATGATTTCCTGTGATGATGAAAATATTAATGACAATATTGCTTGTGCAAACACATTAAGTAATGATAGTGATAATAATATGATTTCCTGTGATGATATTAATGTCAATATTGCTTCTGCAAACACATCAAGTACTTTAGAATATCTACCTTCAGCATCGGAAATTACAATTGACAAAAAAACTACGGAACATGAAAGCTTCCGCAATAACGTATCTCCAACTAATAATAAAAATTCTTCAGAATCACTGATAGATCTTTCTTCTATCAATACATTTGGTTGTAGAGAAGACAATTTATATGTTCCATTTTCTCAACCTAAGGGACATCAAAAAAAAATTTTTGCTACTATTGCAAAAAGTTTTAGAGTAAAATTGCACGTCATTTAGAAAACGTGCATAAATTGGAACCTGAAGTAAAGAAATTTGTATTATTACCAAAAGGTGATCATATTTTTCAATTCTGTATAATTATTTAAGTTTATAGTATATTTTTTTATAAATATTGATTATTTTTTAAATATAATATTAATATGTTATAATTTTTATTAATATATTTACATTATATACATACATTATTTAATATTCTCATTGCAGGTAATTTAGAAAGAAAACAAATTATAGAGTCTATTAGAAAGAAAGGGAATTTCATACACAATACGGATCCTTCCTTAAATACGGGAGAATTAATTGTTTGTCGAAGGCCTGCCAAAAATAGTTGCAAAAAATGTTTTCATTGCAATAATATTGTTAATATTGAGCACAACAGCACGTAACCTTTTTATTTGATTTTTAACAGGTTAATATTAACTTGAGTCGTAAAAATCTGAAGTTTTTACTCAGCACTGCTTTTTAATTTTCTTTTCAGTTAAATTCTTACATCAGCGCGTTAATTTCTGATTATTTATATCCAAATAATTGAAATTACTATATTTATTGTTACAGAAAATAAAAATGATTGTCTGGCAATTGCTAAAAATTATTAGAAAAGTTAAGCTAAAAGTAAGCTAAAAGTCTTTCCATCTATGGAAGACATAAAAAAATTACACTCATATCTAAATAACGAAAGAAAATTATTGTATGCAAAACTTCAGAAGAAATTTAAATACGAAACATGGCTAGAACTTGCAACAGTTATATCAATGCAAGTTTTTAATAGAAGAGCAGGAAAAATAGAACGGGTTACTATTGAAGATTTTAATACTCGCGAAGGTATAACGAAAAAGACCCATTTAAATTTATATAAATCATTAGGCACAAAATTACAGCAGCTAAAAATTATTATTACTATTATTTATTTATAAATTTTATTTGTGCGTGTAATTAAATTATATATATGGTATATACATGCAAAATAATTACCCACATATAACTTTTGTATAGTTGCTGATAAATACGTAAGATTCTTAATTCGTAGGAAATTGGGACGTACAGTGCCTGTGATTTTAGACATGGAATTAGTTCAATGTATTGAACTTATATTGAACTAGCGAAAGATGCAAATGTTTTTGAAAAAAATCCGTATCTGTTTGGCATACCTAGTAGTACCAAACGCCATTTCAAATATTTAAGAGCGTGTATCCTTATGCGATATTTTTCTAAAAAATGTGATGCACAAATACTACATTCTTTAAGAGGTACTGAATTACGTAAACATATTGCTACCACATGCATTACGTTAAATTTATCTGACAATGAAGTGGATGATTTGGCGAACTTTATGGTTATATCATATTCATACTTTGATTTAATAATTTCCAAACGTAACGTTTCATTGTTGCATTAGCCTTAATTTCATAAGTTTTGGTTTATAAGGACTTTTTTCTTCTAATTAAATAGATATATTAAAAATGCACAAAAGTTGAAAAAAGGCATACAATAATTAATATATTTTATACAAAAATTAATATATAAAAAGAACTTGTGGCATATATATAATAAGATAAATAGTGTATATACCTGAATCACTATTATTAGATTATGGGACATCACGAGAAAATTCATAAACGCCATTATCGGCAGTCAATAGCAACTATAGAGATAGTTCGTATGACAAAATTTCTTGAAGCAGCATTAGATGAAAATGAGCAACAGCAATCTAATAATAGTGATTCAGGTATATACACTATTTATCTTATTATATATATGCCACAAGTTCTTTTTATATATTAATTTTTGTATAAAATATATTAATTATTGTATGCCTTTTTTCAACTTTTCTGCATTTTTAATATATCTATTTAATTAGAAGAAAAAATCAGACAAAAGTCCTTATTAACCAAAACTTATGATATTAAGGCTAATGCAACAATGAAACGTTACGTTTGGAACCTATTAAATCAAAGTATGAATATGATATATTCATTGAAATGGATTCAAATTGAGAATACGTTTCATTATTGTGTTCATTCTGCTTTACTCAATTTTTATGCATCGACATCCGCGGTTGTAGCATATATTAGCCCTTAGTTTCAAGAATTGGTTTACACATATATATACATATATAATAATTAAGGTACAAACAAAGATACTTCGAGTGCAGAATCGGAAAACGATGCCGAAACATGTATGATAAGTTCACGTAAGCTTTCTTTATTACGAACAGAAAGGAAATTACCTAAATTTCCTACCATAACAGATGGACAACAAAAATCTGTAAAAAAGAAAATCATGCATCAAAACCATACAATAGTGAATAATGACAATGATTCTGACGAAACTTATTCCCCAAAGATAAAGAAACATCGCAGTAGTAAGTTTATTTTTTCATTTTCACATATTCTATTCAGTTTTTATAAATTTATCAAATCAGAGTAAATTTTCTCTTTAATATTATTTAGTATTATATTTAGTATTATATTTTAGTATTATATTTAGTATTATATTTTAGTATTATATTTAGTATTATATTTAGTATTATAATTGTGACTATGTCAAAGTATATTAATATATTAAGCTTTGTGATCATGTCTCTCAGAACAATGCGTGGATTATTTCTATTTAAAGTATTTAAACTATTAACAATATCCAAAAAATCGTCTTTACTTTCTATAAAAATAAAGTAATTTTAATTATTTAAATATAAGTAATCAGAAATTAACGCATTGATGCAAGAATTTAACTGACAAGAAAATTAAAAAGCGCTGTGTAAAAACTTTAGAATTTTTACAATTTATATTAATATTAACCTCCCAAAAATCAAATTAATATGTTATGTGCTGTTGTATGCACTTAATACGTACAATATTATTGCAATGAAAACATTTTATATTACTTTAAATAAATATATAATAATGATACTATTCTGTACAATTATACATATAATACATGTTTTTCTTAAAATTCCTATTAACTGAACAATTAATGTGTATCGTCTTGTGTTTTATATTTATCACATAATAATTACAAAAATTTTAAAAAATTTGAATACCTAAAAGATTATAACTTAACGACATTTCCCATTATGTAAAAAAATGCAAATTAAAAAAAATTATTTAAATTAATTTTGAAATATTTATCTTCAGAAGAATTGCAGAAAATGTTTACACTCTTAGTTCTAGTTTCCTAATAATAATTGTTAGAATCCATGAGGGATTACATAGAACCCATAATTAAACATTGGATTTACGAAGATAATTTTTCAATTTGAGGTACTTAAGAATTTTTTATTCAAAAGCAAAGCAAATGAGAAAGTAAGAAAAAAAGACTAATTTCACAGAGATAAATAAATATCAAGTCATTAATACAGGAACAATTGCTTTCTTGAATATTACAGATAAGAAGTACCTTCGCATTGTGTAGCACAGCTCTGACTAAGCAGAACAATTGTCTCTGCCCAGTGCTGAGATTACTACCACCTTCATCCAAGACTGCATCCAAACCATCCATTCGATGAACTAAAGAATGCACTTTACATTTCTCGAAGGTTTTGTATATATGTGCATATAGGTATACTGATCCAACGGATCCACATTCTCTCGATTAGTACCCGAGAAAAGAAACGGATTCTGAGGTATAATTGCTAAACGGGATCTGGAATGTTTTTCTTTTCTTTACAACTGTTAACATACAATGATTATTTTTTGCAAGTTTATGAATACCTTAATGTGTTCAGTTGTAACGTTTGAATATTCACGTTGTCGATTAATATACTCCCAGAACTGATCTCTGTCAGTCTAAACAACGAAGCTAGTAACGAACTTTTTCCAGCACCGGTGCGACCAACGACGTCTATTTTTTCCGCTGGTCGAGTAACGAATGTTATCTCTTTCAACGATGGCACTAAATGGTTCCTGCGAATATAATTACAAAAATTTCTTTTACCAAATGTTACAATCGTGCATTATCTTTATCAAAAAATTTGAAAATATTACCTGTACATCAAAACAACTTTTTTAATTCCACAACACTTTGACTAGGCCACGCGTAAGGTTGATTAGTGCCCATTGTATTTTCAGTCGGCACATGATCTAAATACTGTTTAACTCGTTCCACCGCAATCTCTCTCTCTCTCTCTCTCTCTCTCTCAGTCTCAGTAACACCAGCGCGATGACGCGACACGCGATATGCGACGAATCGCGAGAATAGGATTTTCTACCTATTCATATAAACGCGATGCGCGATTACGAAACCTAACATCATTTATTGCATATTTACCATTTATTGCAATTTTATAATTTAATGACAATATCACTCTCGGATCGATGTCGTTGCACGTTTATTTATAACCAAAGAGATCCTCTTTGTTTATAACGACATCGCATCTATAGATAGGATCGCAGTAAATCGCTCGTCGCGCGCTACAAATCTTCAAACTTGGTCAACTTTTTTGCGATGTCGCACTCTATAGTGCGACGGATATGACGTGCGGAAAAGCTGCACGCTCATTGGATATCGCGCATCGCGTGTCGCGTCATCGCGCTGGTGTGCAGGAGCCATAAAGGTGCCTTTACATGCTAGCATCAAGCGTCAAGCATCTACGTTTGCGCAGATGTCACATAAGATAAAAAATAACTTCTTGTGGCTAATAATATTAATAAATATAATAAATATAATGATTATAATTAATATTATATTAATTTTCAGTACTAATATGTGCTAATATTCATTTGATCTCGACTTATTCATCGTATGATCTCGTATGATTCATCTTATTATTAGCAGCAAGAAGCTGAAATCTATTTTATTTAACATTTGCGCAATGAGTTTTTACGCCGACACGTTTGATGCTATCATATAAAAGCATCTTTATATCCAAATAATCCAATAGGATCGCATTGGAGCGAGAAGTATGTTGGGGGAGAGCCTGCTATGCGAACAAACTTATAATTTGGCGGGACCGGCACCTTCCATATTTATTAGCAATATTGCATAAGATATTGCGTAATATATATAAGATTTCGGTTTACATTTAATGAAAATCGTTTCGTTTCATTTGTACGCGATTGCATCACATTAAGTGAAAAATGTCACAATATATATTATTTTTTTGTAATTATCATAAATATCATGTAAATATAAAACACAAGAGAAGACGCGTAAAATGTCCAGTTAGGAATCGTAAAAAAACATGTATTATACGTACAATTGCACAGAATAGTAAGTATCACCATTCTATATTTATTTAAAATAATATAAAATGTTTACATTGCAATAATATTGTTAATATTGAGCACAACAGCACGTAACCTTTTTATTCGATTTTTAACAGGTTAATATTAACTTAAGTCGTAAAAATCTAAAGTTTTTACTCAGCACTGCTTTTTAATTTTCTTTTCAGTTAAATTCTTGCATCAACGCGTTAATTTCTGTGGTTATTTATATATAAATAATTGAAATTACTATATTTATTGTTACAGAAAATAAAAATGATATTCTTGCAATTGCTAAAAGTTTAAATACAAATAATCCACGTATTGCTCTGGAAAACATAAAATTAATTGTCAATAATAATAATAGTAAGTATTATAGTATTATAATTCTAAAACTACATGCAATATATTGCATTTCTATTTTTTACAGTAATTATACTTTTTTTGTAGAAACTACAGAAATACCACAAGATGCTTGCATTATCAATATGAATTATACTAAAAAGAATACTAATACTAACAATTTAAGTAATGCTATTGATTTTGACAATAATGTAGTATCATTTCTTTATAATGAACAAGGCCACAATGCAAATGATCAAAGTAACATCAATTATCTTATAAAACACGTTGATTCTAATAACGGATTTAAAACGAAAATTATTGGTAATACTGATAATTTTACAAATAATAATGCCGATAATAATGGAAATGATAGCATTGTAGAAAATATTAATGACAATAATTCTGCGAATAGTACTGATTTTGATAACAACGGGACATTTTCTAATGAACATGATCACACTGCAATAAATGATGAAAATTGTGTAACTAATAATTCTAAGAAAAATGTTGGTTGTGATAATGCTATGATAATTCCTAGTGAGTCTAATAATGAGCAGAATAGAGTAAAAGCTACTAAACTTAACATTACATTTTCCTGTAATGACAGAAATCATAATGTAGTAGATAGTACTATTAATGCTAACAATTCTGCAAATGATACTGATTTTGATAATGTGATACTTTCTTATGAGAACAATAATGGTTGCAAAACAGTACATAGTGATATCAATAATTCTGCGAATGATAATGATCCTAATATTGATATATCATGTTCTAATGAACATGATCACAATGCAATAAATGATGAAGGTTGCATCACTAATAATTCTAACAAAATTGTTGGTTGTGATAATGCTATGATAATTTCTAGTAAGTCTAATAATGAACAGAATAGAGTAAATGCTACTAAACTTAACATTACATTTTCCTGTAATGACAGAAATCATAATGTAGTAGATAGTACTATTACTGCTAACAATTCTGCAAATGATACTGATTTTGATAATGTGATACTTTCTTGTGATGATGATAACTGTTATGTAAATACTGATATTGATATTAATTTTATGAACAGTAATAATTCTCATAATAATAATCTTACATTTTCCTGTGATAATGATAATTTCAATGTGTCTGAAACGGGTATTGTTCTCAAAGATGTCATGATATATTTTTTTAATGATGATAATAATTCTATTATGTTAAATGATCTCACTAACGCCAAAGCTTCTATAAATTATAATAATAGTGATAATAATATGATTTCCTGTGATGATGAAAATATTAATGACAACATTGCTTGTGCAAACACATTAAGTAATGATAGTGATAATAATATGATTTCCCGTGATGATATTAATGACAATATTGCTTCTGCAAACTCATCAAGTATTTTGGAATATGTACCTTCAGCATTGGAAATTACAATTGACAAAGAAATTACGGAACATGAAAGCTTCCGCAATAAAGTATCTGCAACTAATGATAAAAATTCTTCAGAATCACTGATAGATCTTTCTTCTATCAATACATTTGGTTGTAGAGAAGACAATTTATATGTTCCATTTTCTCAACCTAAGGGACATCAAAAAAAAAATTTTTGCTACTATTGCAAAAAGTTTCAGAGTAAAATTGCACGTCATTT